GTGCAATGTAAGATGCACACTGTACAAGATGTAAGAAAATAAATAAATAAATTTCACATCTAAAATCTGCTCACATGTATACTGTCTACCTCCCTCAAATATAAGCAGCATGATGCTTGTGCTTGGTCTACCCCTTTCACCATTCTCTCAACTCAGCATCAGTAAGAATGATACAAAGTAGAATTCAATATATATTTAATGAACGGCAAGAAGCAGAAGAAAGGAAGCAGATATAAATGAATCTATGGCAGCGAGAAACCCTCCATACAGACCAGCAGTCTACAGAGGGACAACCAGCTGGTATAGATGAACTGAAGATGAACTGAAACCATCAAGAAGCTACATGGTGTGATAAAGTGATTGCCAGGCTCAGCGACGTTAGAATCATTTGGTTAGCTTTGCAAACTCCTGATTCTAGATCACACCAAACCAATGAAATCAGAATCTGAGAATGGGACCCATGTACTGATCATTAGAGGTTGAGAGCCACCAAAGAAATATCAATAGAATCTAGACTTTGGAGCTGTCAACACCTGAGTGTAAATCTTGGGCAAGTTACTAACCTCTTTCAGTCCCCAAGTTCTCATCTATAAAACAGAAATAACAGATACCTCCCAGAGTTGCTGTAAGAATGAGATTAAATATAAATCTCTCAGTAAATGTTAATTTTCTTCTGCAGGGCAAACTTGATGAAATCTTCATTGCTAAGTGTGAGAAATGCTAATTCAATCCGCAATTCATATCTTTCATTGTTACCTGATTAGAGTGAACATTTCATGGAGGAAGTTCAGAAACGCCAATTTTTTTTTTTCACTTTCCTGATGATAAGATGCTGCCTAAAGCGATGTCTATTTTAAATCTAGGAACAACTAAACTATGGAGGAAAATCTAGTTGATTATTTATGATTCTCAAACCTGGTGGCAGAATACAGTCACCTAAGAAGCTTTTTAAAAATACCAAAAATACCAAATACCAACTGTTCAGACCCTGCCCAAGCCAATTAAATCAGAAATCCTGGGTAGGTCCAGAGCTTCAGTACTTTTTTTGAAAAGCTAACTGCTGATTTTAAAACACAGACTAAAATACCCTGATTTTAACGAATGATATCCCGGGCTCACTGCACATTAAAGTCACTCAGAAACTCTTTTAAAAAGATTGATTTGGGCCTCCTTGGTGGCGGTTGAGCACTGCACTGTGAAGCTGTCCACAGCCTCTCCAGTGCAGGTTCGATCCCAGCCGGCCAGGGAGAAACTCACATGGTGCAGCAGACCTCTCCTGTCTCACCTGTTGCTCCCCTCAGCAGTGTATTTCGTCAGTCTGCCTGTTATGTTCCCCGCTCTGTCTCTGGTGAATCCTCTCACTCTCCCGCACATCTAGCCTGTACCCTGGTTTGTGTATAAATAAATAAATCTTTAAAAAAAAAAAAAAAAAGATTGATTCCAGGACCCTGCCTTGGATTACTGATCAGAATCTATGAACATGGAGCCTGTCATTTTGCAAGGCATCATAAAACTCCCCCTGATGATGCTGATGCAAACACACTGGGACTCACTATTTTAAATCATACATTTATGCACCACGTTGTGTGCCAGCAAAAATCATTTAGCACTTTCAAGGGCCTCCCCTGCCAAGCCTGCCTGGTTGCTTTTAATCAGGAACTGATACAATGCATCACAGTAAATGTCAATCTTACAGATCTTTTTAGAACATTTTCATGTGCAGCCCACTGACCCACACCATTTGCCATCTCTTGTGCCCAGCACCAGCTATGTAGTCCATTGGCCTTTCCAACCAAATTCCACTAATAAGCTGCCAATTTGGGAACGACAAAATAGAATCACTTTATCCACCAAGCCTAACTTACCCTTAAGTAGTATGCAAGGCCAGGACTAGTGAAATGAACCTCACTGGTCTGATGAGTCTAAATGAAATCTGAGTTGCTTTCTTCCCCTGGAAGCCAATTGTCCTGTTTATTTTCCTCAGAGAGATAATAAAAGCAAAGGAAACAAAGGTGGTCCTTGAGCAGAAATAAAGCACTCTGCAAGTTTCAGACTCTACATAGGTACTGTAAAAGACCCTTACAGACTTTAAAGGAGCCAATAAATAAGTACATATCACACCATGCTGGCATTATCAGGCAGGTTAACAGAGGCATTTAAACAACCAGGTAGTGGGCTTCCCTGGTGGTGCAAGGGGTTAAGCACCGCACTATGAAGCAATTAGAAGCCTCTGCAGCATGAGTATAATCCCCGGCCCACCAGGGAGCAACCCACATGGCACGGCAGACCTCTGCTGTCTTGCCCACTGCTCCCCTCAGCAGTATATCTCAGTCAATCTGCCTGTTCTGTTCCCCACTGTCTCTGGTGAATCCCCTCCCCCCCTGCATCTTTGGCCTGTACCCCAGTTCTTATATGCATAAATAAGTAAATTTAAAAAAAATAAAAAATAAGCAACCAGGTACTATTTTAAGCATATTATATATATTAATTCATGTGATCCTCACAATAACCATATTAGACAGGAACCATTATTACTATTCCCACTTCAAGGGTAAAGATATGAAGACACATAGAGGTTAAATGACTTGCCTAAAGTCATAGAGCTATTAAGTGGCAGTTTTTTAACCCAGGAAAAGTGCTCTAGACTATTACCTTAACTATTACAGTGGTGATTACAGCCAAGCAGTCCTCTTAAAAATATTTATATCTGCAGCAGAAACTGACGATCATACTATGTATGTTTTGGGCAAGTTACTAAACCTGTCTAAGCCTATTTTTTGCATCTTAAATACAGTACTAACCTCATAGAGTTGAAATGAGGATTTAAAAGTTTTTGTATATGATGTGATTTGAACTTGGCACTTTTAAGAGCTATCAGTAACATCAGCAATTATCATCACTTATGATATTATAGCCCAAGTGGTCAGGGAGAAATGACAACATATTACTGAAAATTTCAGATCCCCTGATCCTAGATATATAGATTCTGCAGATTCCCAGTACATCAGGTCCAATAAGAAATGCAATAAAAAATATTTTCATAAAAACTACCATAGTGGCAACCCCCAGTCCATTCAATGCAAGACCATCAATTAGTCTGACAATGGGAAGCTCTATTTGCTATAGTTTTAGCAAACATTCTCAATTATTAATTATATAAATATAAACACCAATGGATGCTGGTTTGACTGCAGCAAATACCACAGGTTTAAATGCCTCAGCCCTCCTCAGTCACATTTGTATAAACAAAAGAAAAACAAAATGAGAACTCATACAAAAGTAGGTAACACTCAAAACACCCTTTCAAAATTGAAGATTTCATTAGAAAACCACTCAACCCTACTGGTGGATCTCACTTCAAATGCGTAACTACATAGCTCAAATTCAACACTACTTGGCAATCTAGTTCCATTTCCCTAGGTAGTTCACTTTTCCTCTCCAGAAGGACTATGCTGTATGTCTCGCCTCCAAGTTCCAATATTTCTTCTCTCCTCCCCTACTGCCCTTAATTCTCAGCCAAAGATTACCTTCACAAAGGGTCTCTTTACCATGTATCTACTACTGCACCTGTTGTCTCACCTTCCCTTCTAGTTTACAATGGAATGTGTGGCCCTCTCTCTCCATTTCAAAGCTAACCACCACCTGCTCTGGGGACACTCTTCCTCTCAGGTATACAGGACTTCCCCTTGCAATGTTCCACTCTCTCAGGTGGATAAGTTCTCCTTTACTGGAATATAAACAACTTCTTCTTTGTCCACAACAACAAAAAATTCTGCTAGGCCTTAAAACCCCTCTTGCCTAAAGTTGTTGTCAAAATGATTAAAATCCTCATAATTGCTAAATCCATCTTAATTCACTGTGGTTAACAACTACCTTCCCTTTTCTGGCTTCAGTCCTTTAGTTTAAGTACTATCTTAATGGTTCTATCATGATGGTTCTAAAGACCAACTCTAACACTGAGCTCCCCCAGGATTTCAGACTTAAATAGGTCATTACCTATTTGACATCTCAGCTTGAAAATCTACTAGGTGACTTGTATTATGTATATTTTACCACTATTAAAAAATAAACCTACCAAGTGACTGAGAGATGGAGACAGCAATGGAGAGATGCATAGATATGTAAAACAACAACAACAACAAGCATATATAACTTGATGGCAGGACCCAAGTGGTGTGTATGTGGAGTTCACTGTAGAACTCTTTCCAACTATGCTACCCACATGTTTTTTGTTGGAAAATACCTCCTACGCATCTCAAACATAACATACTTAGAAACATAATTACTGATTCTATTTTCCTAAAATGAAACCTGCCCCCTACCTAATGTTTTCCCCATGGCATTAAGGAGCAAGGTAAAAACAGAAAACCGAGGACTGGGCCTTGGCTGGCTATCTCCCACTTGGAATATAACTCCATGAAAGCTGGGACCTTGCTCATCTTGTTTACCCATATCCCCAGTTTCTAGAATAGTGCCTGACACACAGGAGGTGTTCAAAAATAGCTGTTAATTGCTTAATTAATGCTATTTCTCCCTAGGTCCCACAAGCTCCACTGGTCCTTCAGTGAGAATGGAGTTCTTGGCCTCGAAACAACCCGGGTCCAGGCCAGCAAATACGGTGACTTATTACCCGATTATGGCTTTTTACCACTCATATTAGATCCATGTTCCTCAAGGAAAGTTCAAGGACTTTCTTTACCACAAAATTAAAAGTGTTTCCGGTCCCCAAACCTGTCACACAAGGGAACCACAGCATGTTACAGGCCAGCCAGGCATCACACTGCCCACAATGAGTCTCCCCCCAGGCTTCAGGGGTCTGCGGCTGCCCTCTGGCCCAGGGCCTGCTTGAATCCTCCCACTTGGGCCCAGCCTGCCTGGTGTCCACTCTTGGGCCCTGCGCATCAATGGCATCTTCCCTTGGGGAGGCCTCTCTCACCACAGAGCAGTGACCTCCCTTTCCCCATCCCCGTCCCACCTGGCTCCCAGCCATCTTTCCTCACCTGAACCAGTGCAGAGCCCCAAGGCCCCAACTGCCCAGGCCCGCCCCAGCCCACCTTGCCAGTTGGGTTCGCGTGGGGGCCTGCCACTCCCTGCTGGTCCCAGCCGGTGCTGCTGGGTCCCTGCTGTCCAATCCCGATGGTGCCTGCAAGCCTGCGCACTGGAGCCGGGACGCACACTGCCACCGCCATAGGCAAGCCCGGCGAGAGTAAGCATGACCCCCGCCCCCCCTGCTGGTCCTAGCTGGTATTGCAGCGTCCGCCGCACGCCCAGTGACAGGTTTGCGTGGCACCTGGTCCGTGGCGCTGGGCTTGCCTGTCTCTGGGGCCGCGCTCATAATGCCATTACTTTTCTGAGCCATGGCCACCTCTTGAAACTGTGGACCGTGATCTGTAGGGGCAGTTGCCTTGTTCACACCTGCCCCTAAGCCCCCTACTGAGTCACAGCAGAACATGGCCTTGGAGAGGGGCAGGGGAGGGACTCATGGGGGACAGGTTGCTACCAGGTTGAAACAGTCTCAGCCAGGGTAATCAGTACAGAGGGTATCCACGCTACGGACATCGCCTTAATGCATGAAGCCTGAATGTTTCTCTCTTGGTGAGCACAGTTCTCTCCATTTTGTTCTGGCGAGCTAGATCCCTTTAAGTCGTGATGACACCTGACTCCCAGACCACAGCCTTCAGTACTGGTCTAAGGAGAGCGCCCTCTCCATGAACTGAACTGGGGTTGAACAAAAACGTCCTCTCTGTCCAGGCTTGGAGGGGTCAGCTTTCTGACCTACTCAGTCACTGACAGTTAATGCTTCCTCTCCATCAGAAGCCTCACCTCTCCTCAGGAGCTGAGGAATCCTCCAGGCAAGCCACAGCAGTGCCAGGGAGGGTGAAGATGGACGCATGTCTGATGTTCTTTTGTTTCTCATAATGTCTATCCTCAGAACTCTGCACTGGGGCGCCACATGAAAAGTGCGAATGAATTGAAATGTTATAATGTTGTGTCCCTACCTGACTGTCCTGGGGGCCCATAGAGTGGAGAATTCCCACCTGCAACATCATGAAATCCCTGGAGACCAGATGAACTCTTGGTGGGAATGGACCATGAATTCTCATCCTATTCCCTAGCTTCCTCCTAAACGACACAATAATCCCAGAGGCCACTGATCCAGAAGGCTTTTCTTGGATGTTCCTGTTTTCACTAGTGAAAAAAATTCAAAGAGCTACAAAGTATAGTGCTTTGTCAAGATTGCTACCATTCTCTGGGGGCCTTTTAAAATCTTAGTGTCTCACCTACAGCACAAGGGTTTTGACAACCTGAAATAAAGTGCTATTCAATGGCTGGTGACTTTGGGCAAGTTACTTCATAATCTCTGCCTTGGTTTCTTTTTTATTTTTAAAGGGACATAGAGTTGTAAGTGCTGAATGAGGAAAAGAAACAGAAGCACTATATTTCACTCTGCTACTCTCTAAGCAGGGGATTCACAGCAGTCAGGGTCTCTGACCTGTGTGGGTGAGGCATGATACCCTTCACAAATCAGGTTAAATGTATCCATGTACCTTACTATCATGCCAGGAGCAGAGTCCTGCAGACCAGGCTGCTAACATTCCTGTTCCTCTTCACCTTGCTCCTCACAGTATGTGTGGTCCTTCTCTGGTCCTCCAACCCAGGCCTCATCCCTCCAGGTCCCCTTTCTAGCCTGCCCAGAGAGCCTCTCTATTCTCTGCTGCCTCTACATGCTGCCTCCTCATGTCCTGCTTGGTCCTAGGCAAATCCCTGGGGAAGCTCAAATGGGAAATAGTAATGAGAAGCACAAAGAGATACTGATTCTGAAATCCCAAAGTCTATTTCCTATGCCTGATACCCAGATTCCTTCTGGGATGAACCCTGGGGTCAGACAAATGTCTGCTCCTCCCATCTGCCCCTTTCCAGTGTAAGAACTTACTGTCAAATGGGCTCTAATCCCAAGCCATGGGTCTCAAGACACAGAGAGGACCCAGGAAGGCCTCCCAGACCACAGAAGATAGCTCACACCCAGGACTTCAGGGCCCAACATTATTTCTTCACAACCCCTGAAACCCACATTCAAGTTCAGGATTTTCTAAACTTGGCTAAGGACCAGAAAAGAGCAGATAACTAAGAACAAGAAAAATGACAGGGAAAAAAAACCTAATCATTTCAATGACAGCCTACCACAGGCTCCACCAAGTTCCAGGTCTTGGCCTTACAACCTGGTTTATTTTTGGATGGTGTTCTTCACACCCAGTGCCACCAGGTGTGAGCTGATGAGGACCATGAGCTCTGAAAAACTGCAGGAACTTTTCTGTGCACTTCTTTCTCTCTGCTCAGCTTTGAGAAACTTTACATGAAAGACTGTAAAAATAAATTGTTGAAAGTCCAATGCCAATAAAAATCCCAGAAGAGGTTGAAAACTATTTAAAGAGCCAAAGGACAATGTATGCATTGATGTAAAAATTGTATAAAATTAAAAAAAATAAAAATAATAAAAAAGATATCCAAATAAAAAGAAAAAAAAATTTAAATAATAAAGAGCAAAAGGACATGCACTTACCTTGTTGTGAATTCTCAGCTGCCTGGTCCCTGAGCCTGACACATGGTAGATGTCCAGTAAATATTGATCGATTGATCTATTAGTTGGCTGCTCACCGATTTGCAAAACTTCAACCAGCCCATTGCTCTGCATGCACAGGCCGTAAGGAGGATCCTTAATCTTTGTTAGGAAAAACTGCTATGTTGATCAGAGACTTGATACAAATTCTTCTTTATAAGTGTCCTGCCTTCCATTGCCTTCTATACTTATAAACAGTAAAACAATGATATGGCAGGAAAAAACTGCAGACTCTGCCAAATTCTAAGAAAGGAGCTAGGCTCATACCTTTCAGTCCTCATCTATTACCATTTGGTCTGTGCCAAGCTCTGTACTTTACAGCAAGGATACAGGTATTGCCATCTTATTGATTTTTATTAACTGAACAGTACATACAGATGACAACTTCTCTATTTCTTTCCAATGTCATCCAAATGCCCAGGTGCATTTTTTCCTGACCCATTGCTATAAAATCTTGGACCTGTCTCTAACTTTGAATAGCCAGAATAGCTCCATATCAGTACAAAATACCCTCTAACTTCTTGTATGAGCATTTGGCTCTCTCCACCCCAAATCAGGACTGTCTTGGGCTGGAAACAGGGATGGAAAATGGCACACCAGTTTTTCCTTCCCCACCCAGCTTCATATCCACATCCCACCCTCCTGACACCGTCCAGCACCTCTTCAGGTAGACTTCAGCACTGGCCCTCTGGGCCTGGCAGATGTTTTGAGCTGACTATCCTGAAAGTGAATCTTGTGGTTTCCCCCCAAAATTTCCCTGTGAGGTGTCTTCAACTGCTGCTCCATTTCCTGGGTGGTGTTGCCTCTGGTCAACTTTTTCCAATACCTTCCCTGTGCTCCTGTCTTCCATAAGGCCATTCCAGGGCTATCATATACACAGAGCTCTGTGGGTATGTAGCTTGTGGCATGAATAAAGGCACCAGACAAATAAGGAGGTAAAAGCCCAAATGCAGACATGGTTTTGTGTCCCAGTGGAGTGTTTCTCAAATTGAACTCAATTTGCGTAACTCATCAGGCACAGGAGGGTGCTTTTTTGTGATTCTTGCCAGCGCACCCTCTCAGGATCAGCTAAGGCTCTAGTTCTCTCTCTCTTTCTGCTTGGGTACACATCCCTCCTGCATTTTTTTTTAAGATTTATTTTTTATTTATACAAGAGCTGGGGTACAGACCAGATATGTGGGAGGGTGAGAGGATTCACCGGAGACAGAGCGGGGAACAGAACATGCAGACAGATGAAATACACTGCTGAGGGGAGCAGCAAGCGAGACAGGAGAGGTCTGCTCGCCATGTGGGTTGCTCCGAGGCCGGCGGGGATCGAACTGGCACTGCAGAGGCTGCTGACAGCTTCACAGCGCTGCACTCAACTGCCTGCACCACCAGGCATGTTTTATGACAACTCCAGACTGCCTCACCAGTAGGACTTTCACTTGACTATTAGAAGGTTTCCCATGTCCTTACTCTGCCAACGGTGTTGACAGTTGACTCCCAGGACAGCTACTATCCCCTTGCTCTCCCACCAGGCATGTTGCTTCAGACATCACCTGTCACATTTAATCCTGTGTCTTCCCAAATTGTAGGAGACATATGTTGTCTTATATTTTCTTAAATAGCCCTTTCATACAGGCAAATGAATTCATACATACCAAATTAAGGCTTCCAATGCCTCCCCAAGAGAGAAAACAGGTGATGAAGAGACATGCCATAACATTTCAACAGCTCTCTCCAGAGGAATCTTCCATTCTGACTTCCTTACCCTCTCAACCCTTACATCCTGTGGGTGGGTGATCACCAGTGCTGCAGACTTGCCAGAGGAGGTGACCATACAGTAAGGGGATGTGTAAATAGAATGAAGAAGGGAAGTGTGCCATATGATTGTGTTGGGCATAGACAAACATAAGATGGAAGATGAAAAAGCATGCATATTCTAGGGTTCTCAAAGGAGCCCCATATGACTGCATGAAACGGAGGCAGTCTGAAAAACTGGAACTGGAATTGGAAAACTGAGTTGTAACCAGATCCCAAAATGTTTTCCAAGCTATTCTATGAAATTTGAACACTGTCCTCTAAGGTTAGCCATAAAAGGGTAGTGCATGCTATTATTTCATTTTTAGCATACTGTCTCTGAGTGTGGCATGGAGAGGCATGGTGAAAGTGAAGACTTCTTCAATATGAATTAAGAGCATCAAAAGCAATGTTCAGAGAATTTAACAAGCAGAGTAAAAGATTTTCTCACTTTTTTCCTATTTCTCAGTCTTCCTAACACAGTCTAAAGGCAACTCATTCTCTTTCGTTTGTCAAGACCTCAGGGAGGCATCGTGATTGGGAGAGAAGGGCATGGACTTTATTCCAGTGCTTCTTTTATTTCAACATCACTATTTTCTTGCGCCCTCTGACAAATTATTGAAACTCTCTTAGTCTCAGTGGCTCATATATAAAAATGACCCTAGTAAGGGTGAGTCAGAGTAAACTAGATTATGTTGC